GGAGCCTAGGTGGGGTGGGTATTGGAAAAGGGTGTTGACTAGGGCACTGTCTAGGGTTAGGATTAAGGTTTTGAGAGAGAAAGGTCAAACTCTCTCTAGGACTAAGGTTTGTAAAAGGGCTGCCAAAGGAAGTTGAGGGCTACCAAATGCTTCAGATGTGAACGCTTTTTCATGGGAGCTCTTGCTAGGATGAATGTTCGACCTGGGAGCTGTCTTAGCCCTGTCCTTATGTTTGGAAAGAAAGGAAGCACAGACTCCCCTTGTGACTGAAGTTGTGAGAGTGCTGCCAAAGCAAGTGGAGGGCTACCAAAAGATTCTGTTGCGAGCAATTTTTCTTGGGAGCACTAGGTGAAATGTTTCTTGGATCTAGGCAATGTCTAGGGCTAGGGTTAGGGTTTAGAGAGAGACAGAGAAAGTCCAGACTCCCATTGTGAACAGTTTAATTAAAAGGCTGCCAAAGGACATCGAGGGCTACTAAATAAATTGCTTCCGCTGCAAGCAGCATTTCATGGAAGTGCTGGGTGTGGTGTGTGTTGGACCTGGGCAGCTGTCTAGAGTTAGGCTTAGGGTTTGGAGAGAGAGAAAACACAGACTCCCATTGTTAGTGTGACTGTGAAGGGGCTTTCAAAGGATGTGCCTTTGGGGTTGGGGACACAGCAGCACACATCTTGTGGTTGTGAGCTGAGTGCAGACCAGAGCCAGTCCCACTATGATATGCCAGCAGGGCTCTTGGAGCCTTGGGGCACGTGGGGCTCTGCTGTATGGGCAGGACTTTGGAATCAGTCAAAGTCCACAAATTGTTTGTTTCACAGAAAGTTCAGAGTTAGGGTTAGGATGTGGAGACAGAGAGAGTACAGACTTCCGTTGTGAGTGAGTGTGTGAAAAGGCTGCTGTGAGAAACTAAGAAAGAAAGAAGAAAGAAGAAGAAAGAAAGAAAGAAGAAGAAAGAAAGAAAGAAGGAAAGAAAGAAGAAAGAAGGAAAGAAGGAAAGAAAGAAGGAAAGAAAGAAGGAAAGAAAGAAGAGAAAGAAAGAAGAAGAAAGAAAGAAGAAGAGAGAAGGAAGGAAGGAGAGGAAAGAAGGAAGGAAGGAAGGAAGGAAGGAAGGAAGGAAGGAAGGAAGGAAGGAAGGAAGGAAGGAAGGAAGGAAGGAAGGAAGGAAGGAAGGAAGGAAGGAAGGAAGGAAGGAAGGAAGAAAGATTGTACATATATGCTATAGAGGAGTGTTGAGTAGCTTGTGAACCTGTAGTACTCAGTCAATGAGGAAACAGGGGAGGTGATCAGGCGTCGGGTAATAGGAAATAAAAGGTTATGATTTGTTTACTAAAATGCACTCGTAATTGAAAGGACTTCCGCTATTCCAATCACAAATAAAATAGCTTTGCAGAAGATCCTGTCTGAAGAAAATTAATTGAGATTTTTCTCACACTGCTAAAGGAAGTTGAGATATACCAAATGGCTTCTGTTGTAAATAATTTTTTGTGGGAGACCTAGGTGGAGTGGGAGTAGGATCTGTGTCACATTGAAAGGTGCCTATCAAAGTCAAACACTTGCCTGTTTTAAGAGCCCTGCCAAGGACTTTCACTGAGACAGTTTCACAAAGTTGAAAACTTTTAATAAGGTGACAGATGGGACCGGACTAGATGATCTTAGAGGTGTTTTCCAACCTGGATGATTCTATGATTCTATTTTCTATATGAGATTTGGAATTGCTTTTGGTAAACGCCCTTTCTGCAATAGCGCTCATATCTGATAACAGTGCTAGCAAAATGCTATCTCAGGTATTCCTCTCCAAAAGATGAAGGTGCAGAGCTTACCAACAAGGCATCCCTGTCTTGGTGGAGAAGAAGGAGCACAGCCTTTCAACTACCTCTTCCAGCTTTCCAATCTCTTCTTTCTCCCCCCAGCTCTTTTATGACATTCATCTCACTTTATCAACTAATGCTAACACCAACGCTTTTTCCTAACACTAAAACCTTTTCCTTTATATCCTTACATTATCTGTTCCCTTCCCTGGAGTGATGTTTAGCATGATTTGTGTGGAGAGTCAAATAGTAAAGACATGTATGTTTAGCATGTATTTCATTAAGATTCATTTTACAAATAATCAAATGAAACGTTTCACTCCAGGCACCATGGCCTTCAAGATTCTCTTCTGCTGCCAGATAAGGACCATCCTCATATGGCAAGACACTGTCCCTCAGTAGCCTCTCATACCAAGCCTACAGACCTCCATCCACAACATCTGTGTAAGAGAGAAGTGGAAGCAGGCTGCTCAACTCCCACCTTGCCCAAGGCCAGTGCTTATCAGAGACACTAGCAAGTCTGACTATTCTCTGCATCTACCTCCCGTGATTTTTCTCTCCCACTCCTTTACCCAAACCATTCACCTGCCCCAAGGATAATTCTCCCACACTGAGGACTGGGCATCACCTGTAATACCCAAATGGGAAATACTTAAAACTGCCACACCAGTACCTCAAATAAATAACCTCTGTTTCAACATGGTGGTCATCACTTAACTTGCTCAGGTAGACTCTGGTGCTGACATTCCACGTCATGCCCTGCTTTGCATCTTCACAGAATCACACAGAATCACAGAATTTGTAGGTTGGAAGAGACCTCAAGATCATCGAGTCCAACCTCTGACCTAACACTAACAGTTCCCACTAAACCATATCCCTATACTCTACATCTAAACGTCTTTTAAAGACTTCCAGGGATGGTGACTCCACCACTTCCCTGGGCAGCCCGTTCCAATGTCTAACAACCCTTTCGGTAAAGAAGTTCTTCCTCAGATCCAACCTCAAACTCCCCTGGTGCAACTTTAGCCCATTCCCCCTGGTCCTGTCACCAGGCACGTGGGAGAACAGGCCAACCCCCACCTCGCTACAGCCTCCTTTGAGGTACCTGTAGAGAGCTTCCAAACAAGCAAAAACCATTTTCGTGTAGTCACCAACTGTAGTGCCTTCCCTCCAACACTATACACTAGATCACCTTCACAGAGAACTCCACTGCATCCATTACCCTGTAGCACATGCCTCATCCCTCCACATCTGCAAAAACAATATAAAAAAGTCACCTGGATGCTGATCAATAGCTCAACTATTCTAGAGCTATTCTTGAATGAATAGCTCACTGGAAAAAGAGATGCATACCTCCCTGGGCTGAAAAGTTATCCATATACCACTCATGAGTTTCAGCCTTATCAAAATTATGACTTTCTCAGGCTTTCTCAAAAACAAAACAAAACAACAACAAAACCAAGCCAAACCAAACCAAACCAAACCAACCAATAAACCATCCAACCTAAACTCAAAAGCCAAAATATATAATTAATCAGATAACTAGATTTATAAATATTTATAAAATTTATAATCCTTTGGGTCTGGTACTAGCTTGGTATACTGCTAATTACATCATTAGCTGTATCCTATTTCATAGACCTCTGTTCCTTCTCCCCTGCCAGGAAGACTGTTTTCTAAAGTGCAGTGAGTAGGATTCTGATATATAAAAAATGAATATGTTATAAATGAAGTGCAAAGGGATGATGAAAGCTAAGTAATGTGAAAAGCAGACCGATCAGCCTGAAAAGAATTTGAAATCACTAGCAGTGAAAATCAGGGCAACAATTTTAACATAAGTGGCTGCATACTCTTTGCTTTTAACCTAGAGAAATGCTCTGATTTCTAATTAACTGGAGAAAAGCAGTCCTGTAGTCATGCACCTTCATGAACATCATATTGAGTATGGAAATGAAACAGAGGTGAATATTGTAAAAGTTCACATGAAATGTGTTCATTAGTCCATAAATCACACACCTTGACAAATACAGAAGAAGCATGAGATGTAATTTAATATTGTCTTAGGTCTCAAGAGAAATAAGTTATATGACTACTGAGTGACATATTAACTGTTAACATGAAATACGAAATGAAGGGACCATAATTTGATGGCCTGTTATATTCACAGAGAGGTAGATATTAGTGCTATGGACTTCAGGGTGCTTGTAACATCATATGTAAGCCCACAATGACTACCTGTGTGACGGTTTGGAGGGTAAGAGCCATGCTGCCAGGCTGTTGTGTATCGGGCCCTGAGGTTGCTTGCGGAGGGCAGAGGCAGCCTTGCTGCACCACCTGCTCCTGCCTCCTTGGAAGGGCTGTGGAGCTCACTGTGGCCTGGGGGGACGGTGGGAGCCGTGGGGCTCCCGTGGCAAGGGAGGAGCGCAGCAGGTCTCTTCTGCTGCCCACTGTGATGAGGGAGGCCCCAGTGGACTGCAGGCTGGCAGACGTGCCTCCAGGCAACAGGAAGGGCTGGAAGGACTTTCCAGGGAATTACAGGCCCGTCAGTCTGATGTCAGCGTCAGGGCAGGTTACAGAGCTGTGTTTGGGATTTAGTATGAGACTAACGTTGGTATCACCCTGATGTTTTAATTGTTGCAGAGCAGTGCTTACACTAAGCCAAGGACTTCTCAGCTTCTTGCTCTGTCCTGCCAGCAGGCAGGCTGGGGTGAAGAAGAAGCTGGGAGGGGACAAACCCAGGACAGCTGACCCAAATTGGCCAAAGGACTAATCCATACCATATGGCGTCATGCTGAACAATTATATGGGGGGCTTGGACGGGGTGGGGGGTCTGGCTGCTTAGGAATAGCCTGGGCATCAGTCAGCGGGTGCATTGTACATCACTTGTTTGTACACTGTATTATTATTTTCCCTTCCGTCCCTTCCCTTCCCTTCCCTTCCCTTCCCTTCCCTTCCCTTCCCTTCCTCCCTTTCCCTTCCCTTCCCTTTTCCCTTTCCCTTCCCTTCCCTTCCTTCCCTTCCCTTCCCTTCCCTCCCTTCCCTTCCCTTCCCTTCCCTTCCGTCCCCTTCCCCTTCCCTTCCTTCCTTCCCTTCCCTTCCCTTCCCTTCCCTTTTCCTCTCTCTCTCTTCTCCTCCTCTCTCTCATCCATCTCTCTCTCTCTCTCTTCTCTCTTCCTCTTCCTCTTCCTCTCTTTTTCCCTTTCCATTCCCTGTGTGTTGCAGTTCGCTCTCATTCCTTGTCAAGTTAGAACAGTTGGACCTTGGTGCTAATGACCTGGAATTACTGGTAGGTGAGGGATGGTGGGGAGGGAATATGGGTGGTTGGTAGAGGGTAGCATCTGTACCTTTGTGGAAGTGTTTTTTGTTTTGTTTTGTTTTGTCTGAAATGCAAAGAAGTAGACCCTCAGGTTGTTTGGGAAGATTCTGATCTGCCCAGGATGGCCTAGTCAGTGTTCCCAGTATAATGTTTTCTTTGTGTGTTGGCCCTGTTTCACTTTCTACTACCCTTATACACACCTTGCTCTGCTTTTTCCAAGCCCCTTTGCTCTGAGACATTCTTTGTTGCTATCTAGCTGCCTAAAGATCTTTCCTTTCCAATGAAATTCTTGTCTGGTACTTTATTTATCTGCGGTGTTGCACTGCCACCAGCTGTCATTTTCCACTTCTGCTGGGCTGACTTTCTGCATTTCCCTTCGTAATTTATTTTCTCCTTTAGAAAGTACAGGACCATTCCATGTTGTTCCTGACAGTTATGTCAGCCTAGCATGTGGTGTGTGCCCTCTGGATCAGGGTGCCTCCATGGAGGGCTCTAAACCCAAGCCTAAACCTAAGTATGCTGAGAGCCAGTGCATAATCTTGAATTACAGCTCGTCTTGACACTGGGGGAAATCCAGTGATATTTAACTTTGCAGTTGTGGATCAAGTTGTTACTGAATCCTGTTCTTAATGTTCTGAAATGCTTTTTGGCAGAAAGCCAACTAAAATGGGGACAGAAGAGATTTTGCAGCTTCCTACGCACAAAGCTGCAGCCTGCTTGTGAGAACAGTTGGCTGATGCTTGAACAGCACTCGAGTGGTGCTTTAAGTCCTAAACCAAACACTCATCAGAGTGTGTTGTGTTTACAGGTAACAAAAGGAGCAACACTATGAACACGTCTACCATTGCTGATAGCGCTGCTATATCATGTTGGGATTGTCAGTGTTAACCAAAAGCTTTTATTCATGTCTGGCAGGAGGGGGAGAAAGACACATTTCTACTGTGGGTCCAGCATTTCCAAAACCTTGCTACTGGACAGTCCTTCCTGTTGTCTTCTATGTTTCCTGTTGGGAGCTTCTGCAGCCAGTATGCTAACCCAGACACTTCCAAACATATTTGCTGCAGTATTGTGGCACACCAAAATGTTAGTCTCATAAACCATTTGATGAATGGTTGTTGGAGGTGTGAAAGCAGTACCATCGAGTTTTGCAGAGTTTTAGTGTGATTTGGAATATCCTAGAGCAGTTTCTCCCCTGGAAAGGACTGACACTGCTACTGCTGTGACACTGCTACTGCCCTGCTCTGTTACAGCCAGATAACTCTGGGAGTGCTACCAAACTTGTGCGAGCTTTGGTTAGACCAGAATGAAGTCCTGTACCCAGCTGCACGCTGTAATAGCAGAGAAGTCCGCATCAGATTCTGTGACATTTTGTTCATGTCCAGCTTGGGCTCTAGTGGTCTGATAAAACACGTCATTTGAACTGATTCAATCTTGAGGTATGACACGTATTCCTCTGATTGTTAAATGTCATGCTCTGCATGAGTGCTTTTTCTTCGGTAGGGCCTACAGCGCAGAGCAACCCCTCATCCCAGCGAGCTGAAGGTTATGAAGAAAGTTATTGAAGTTCCGTGCAATGAGGTACATGCTGCAAAACCTGGCACAGACCTGAATTCACCTAAGTCAGAAGCGAGTGCTGTTCACTAAGAAATGGATAACTGTACAGAGCATGTCGCAGATGGGGGAAATGGAGAGGCAGTGTTTGTAAGCTGGGCAGAAAGAACTTAACTTTTGGGAAATGTGAGACTGGACTGAGCATGGATTGCTTGCATTTCATGAGTTAGAACCTACCTTGTGGTGTCTGCTAGGGCCACTGAGACAGCACAAGATGCAGCAAGGATACAGAAAAGGCCATAACGGGGAATGTGTGCCTCAGTGCCACTTCAGTCACAGAAGAGGGAGAGAAAAAGAAGGCTCTGATATACTGAATAAAGATTGATGGGAATAGAGTACTGGGGGATGTTGCCTTGCTGCCCAGGTGTGATATTGACAATAAATGCCCACATAGATGGTGAAACAGGGGTAGAGCTAGGAAGGTAGTGGGCAACTTGAAAAAGCTGGTTCTTTTGGCAGTGGACCATACCCCACCCTGCACCAATCAGATTATACTGATCCATTTCCTACTTTGGTTTCCGTCTTGATTTTTGTAATCTATCATCTTCCCAGGAGAAAGACTGAGTGCCACGTCAAATCACAGTGAGGACTGCCACCTTTCTAACAGCACCACCTCTTGCTGACCTTAGGGCAGAGGAGCAGGGAAAAGAGGGACAAAGGAGCTGGCCAAATGGGCAGCTGTCTGAGATGCAGGAGCTGGGGAAGGTTGTAAAGCCAAAAGCTGAAGAGGAGCATAAAGAAGCAGCTGTCCAAGAGGAGGAAGATGTAGAAGTAGAATACAATGAGGTAGGAATCTAGGAACTGCATCAGGGTCATGTTAAAAAGTGGAAGGATTTGACAGTTTCTGAGAAAATGATAAATGGATTTACAGAGTATGATTTGGGCATTGCTGGAGGCAAGTAAAGGCCCTGGAAGCTAACTGCAAGGAGAGATTCAGGGAGCGTGGTGGAACAGGGTCCATCAAAGACTAGGAAAAATAGCATGGGAATGGGGCAGGGACTGTGCAAAAGTCAGGCTTACAGGTTTGAGTGCCCATGAAGCTGACAGATGTGTCTAGGTGAAGGAGTTAATATGGGAGATGGGGCAAAAACAAGTATAGGGAAATTGGGGTATGTATTCCTGCATCTTCTTTAACATTAAAGCAGAAATGCTGGCTTTGCATGCGTTGGTAGTAGAGGGACAGCAGATTTATGTGCTGCCTGCAGCTATGGCTGTTATCTGAGGCTCGCAGCCTTTCTGGGGCTTTGCCATTGCAGCCCACTGTACACTTTACTGAGGACACATTAATAAGGAGTGAAGATGAGGATGAAGATGAAAAGTGACCATTCCCAGTGGAGAAACAGAGGCTTATCCACAAGGACACACCCCATTATAAGAAACACTTTTAAGATAACTAAACTGCCCAAGCCGGAGGAAGTGGTGGCACTCCTGCAGGGGCTGAACAGTGAGGGAGTCCTAAAAGAGGAAGAGGAGCTGGGAAATCACAATAACAATGCAGAACCTGAGGATCGGGAGGAAGCATGGGATGAGGATAACAGAAAAAGTGGAGCTTTATCTGCTCATCCACCAGTGCAGATAAGGTCTTGAGGGGATGGGGAAAGGTCAGAGGGGTGCCAGACCACCCTTCTGCTGCTTTGAACTACCAGCCAGGTTGATGCAGTACAAATGAAAATGTTCTCAAGAGGCTCCAGCACTTCAGGAGAAACACGCTGAGGTCAGGAGAACTGAAGTTCTTTCTGGGGCTTATACAATTGTCCAACAGCTGTGCCATGTTGCTTATGTCTGACTTCTCACGCTATGTCCAAATGCTTGCATGCTCCCCTTATGTGTGATGTTGTGATCTGTGCTGCAAGAACGGTTCTTTTGTCCCATCACTGATGGGTTTTTTCATTCCTTTCAAAAAACGACCTCCTTGCTTGCTAGTTGTTGCACCTCGTTTGCTACAGAATGAGCCATGTCTGTGGATGGATCTAATCTCCTCAGGCTTATGTTCAGACTGCTTACAGTTGCTTTTCTGCCACGGTTCAGGTCCTGAAGAGGAGTACTAGTGAGAGCAGTTAGGAGCATGCCATTCTCATTGGTTCTACCCAGTGCCTGCCCCAGAACAGGTGCAGTCTGATGAAATGTGCCTAGGGACTCAAGAGAGCCTGTTTTATGAAGTTCTGCCATTGCCATGGGGCCACAGCGAGCCTTTCTGGTCATGGTTGGGGCTGATGAGTTAAAAGGTCCTTGGCTCTACTCAGGTGAATCCCCATGTTTCATCAGGGACATCCAGATTCTTGCTTGAGGAAGATGCTCACAGTAGAATAGGAATATACTTACAAGGGACATTGCCTGAGGTCAGACCAGTTCTTACTGAAATTGGTGATGAAACTGACTGATTTTGTGAGGTGTTCTTAACAGGCAGGGATTAGGATGCAGTTGAATCTACATTATCTGTCTACATTATATAGAGTATGACACCAGCAAATCTTGTGGGAGAGATGTAGGTCTCCGAACTGGTGTAATATGCTGGAGTAAAACCTATTCTTGCTGTTACTGCACGCACTCCAGACTATTGGGATCTTTCCAACCTGAGCTGGAGTTCAGATTGCACAGGGAAAGTTCTTGCACTCAAGTTTCCATTGGAGCCTTTCCTTCAGTGGATGCTTGCCTTGACGTATCTGAGCTGATATTTGATCCCTAGGGATGAGACATGCAGTTTCCTTACTATTTGCAAAGTTCTTCAGAGTGAAAATGCATTGTTGCTGCTGCTTGTAAGAGTGTGTGAAGCCATCCTAAATCCCCTGTATCTAAGACCTGCCGTACATGTGAAATGCCCTGACCCAGAAGGCTCCTGTCCCAACAGAGGGTGTCGTTTGATCAAGCCAATAATTTTAGTGTATGACTCAAAGCCAAGGACACACTGACCCACTGTAAAAACCTGTGAAGGTATTGCACCCATAGGTGTTGAGACCATGGGTTTGGTATCGCTGTTAAAATAGTTGTCCTTATTAGAGGCTAAACCTTCTGCCTGGAAATAACAGTTCTCCTTTTCTTGGGACGGGGTTGAATGCTTGCTCCGTGAAGACATGTTTATTAGCTTGCCTCCCGAGCTGTCTTCCAGAAGTAGGAATGTGGGGAGCAATGTCCCCACAGAGTTTCAAGTGAGGAATGCAGTATACATGCACTAAGTAAGATGATAGGACAAGGTGTGCAGGAGGTTTAGTCCTTAAATCAGAGTATTTTTGTTTGTTTGTTTGTTTGCTTGTTTTTTTCCCAAGGAGAGTTGGTTTTCAACAGAAATTCTAAGATTTCCTGTATTTGGGAGCAGGCTGACTGAGCATGTGACACTTCCACCGGAGGCATTTCCCTTCACAGGAGGGACCAGTGAAGTTTGATTTGGAACAGATGCATTCCTGTGCGGCAGCTAGGTGGTACCAGAGGGCCCTCTGCAATTTTCTTCTGTGTTGATTGATCGTTCTTCATTCACTGAAAGACACGGTATAGAGTGGGTAAAACCAGCTAATGATGTTTAGCTTGTGAGCGTGATGGTCACAGCCTCAGTGCGTCAACACAGACAAAATATGCCCTTTAAGATGTGACAAGCTCCCAACCGACCCTGAATGTGTGCGGGATTTGCTGCTCCACCTGGATCCATACAAGTCCATGGGTCCGGATGGGATCCATCCCAGAGTGCTTAAAAAGCTGGCTGATGTCATCACGGGACCTCTCTCAATTATTTTTCAACAGTTTTGGGAATCTGGAGAGATTTAGGCTGGACATCAGGATGAGGTTCTTCACCAAGAGGGTGGTCACGCCCTGGAACAGGCTCCCCAGGGAAGTAGTCACTGCACCAAGCCTGTCAGAATTTAAGAAGCGATGGGACTGTGCTCTTAGTCATACGGTCTGAGTTTTTGGGTAGACCTGTGTGGTGCCAGGAGTTGGACTTGATGATCCTTATGGGTCCCTTCCAACTCGGGGTATTCTATGATTCTATGATTAAATCTTTATTAATTTTGACAGTCTCTTTGCATGTTTAAACATCAGAAATTGCAAACCACCTAGTTCTGGTTCACAAGAATGTGAGCTTCCCTGACAGCTGAGTTGAAAGCCCAAGCTATTTCTGCCAGTAGATGATTTCACACCCTGCCTGCCTGCACAAAGACAGCTTGCCTGGTGCATCTGGCATACCACGGGGGGAATGCTAGCCATGCCAGGTAGCCACATCTAGGTAAGTGTTTAGTTTCTTCCAGCTCCTGTGCTCATTCCGTTACCGAAGAAAATTCACAATGTCACAGGGGCCTGGCCATATCTATCCCATGAACTGAATAAAGTGCCCACTCCTGGCACCACTTGGAGAAAGGTATGAGTAGGAACTTGTACAGGAAGACCACTTTAAGCATTTAAAAGCAGACACGGCTCTGCATTCCCACGCTTAGGTTCTCTATTGTCATACTGCATTTCAGGTAACTTAGTTCACTATCTGTTTCCTTGCTGATAGCAATGTAGGGACAGCTTCTTCCAACACTTCTTAAGTTTGGAGTACCCATCTGCCACCTGTTGGGGGTGGGTCTTGTCCTCATCTCTCTGAAGGGTCTCATGAATGTCAGCACTTTTCTCACATTAGTTTAAGACAATGGACTATGTCAGAGTGCCTTATGAAGTACTGTGAACGAGAGAGGGCCTTAGAATCATACCACAGAACGGCTTGGGTTGAAAGGGACCATAAAGACTATCCAATTCAAAGCCCCCTGCCATAGGCGGGGATGCCACCCACTAGATCAGGCTGCTCAGGGCCTTGTCCAACCTGGTTGTGAACACCTCCAGGCATGGGGCATCCACAGGTTCCTTCTCTGGCCAACCTGTTCCAGTGCCTCACATTGCTTACAGTGATGAATTTCCTCCTAACCCCTAATCTAAGTCTCCCCTCTCTTAGTTTAAAAAAAGGGTCCTCTTTTCCATCCTTTTTAAAAATGGGAGTGATGTTTCCCTTTTTCCTGTCACCAGCTACTTCACCTGACTGCCAAGACTTTTCAGGTAGGATGGAGAGAGGCTTGGCGACGACATCAGCCATTTCCCTCAGGACCCTGAGATGCACGTCATCAGGCCCAACAGACTTCATCGAATCATAGGATCTTAGAATGTTTGAGTTAGAAGGGACCCACAAGGATCAAGGCCAACTCCTGGCTCCCCAAAGAGCCACTCAAAATAATAATAAAATAGTGAAATAATAATAATATAAGATCAGATCATGCACCTGAGAGCACTGTCCGAGCGCTTCTTCCATTCTGGCAGGCTTGGTGCTGTGACCACTTCCCTGGGGAGCTTGTTCCAGTGCGTGACCACCCTCTCGGTGAACACTGACATTCCCTCAGGTCTTGTTGCTGGTCACCAGAGCAGAGACCAGTGCTTGCCTCTCCTCTCCCCTTGTGAGAAAGCTGCAGACCACAATGAGGTCTCCTCCTGTCTCCTCCAGGCTGAACAATCCAAGCGACTTCAACTGCTTCTCCTACGTCTTCCCCGCTAGACCCTTCTCCATCTTTATTGCCCTACTTTGGAGACTGTCCAACAGTTTTACGTCTTTCTTCCTTATACTCTGGTGCCCAGAACTGCACACACCACTTGAGGTGAGGCTGCACCAGCGCAGAGCAGACTGGGACAATCCCCTCCCTTGGCCAGCTAGCGATGCCGTGCTTGATGCACCCCAGGGTATGGTTGGCCCTCCTGGCCACCAAGGCACACTGCTGGCTCACGTTCAGCTTGCTGTCAACCAAAAACCCCAGATCACTTTCTGCAGGGCTGCTCTCCAGCCTCTCATCCCCCACTCTTTATAAATAGCCAGGGTTGCCCCTTCCCAGGTGCAGAATCTGGCACTTGCTCTTGTTAAACTTCGTACTGTTGGTGACTGTCCAGCTCTCTTCATTTGTCCAGATCTCTCTCCAAGGCCTCACCACCCTTGACGGAGTCAACAGCTCCATCCAGTTTGGAATCATTTGTGAACTTGCTCAAAAATCCTTCAAGCCCTTCATCCAGATTGTTTATGAAAACACTGAAGAGGACCGGTCCTAAAATGGAGCCCTGGGGAACCCCGCTAGTGATAGATCACCAGCCTGATGTAACCCCATTTACAAGAGCCCTCTGGGTCTCACCTGTCAGCCAATTGTTCACCCATCTTACTGTGATTTTATCTAACTGCTTTCTGGTCATTTTGTCCAGACAAGTTCTGCGAGACAGTATCGAATGCTTTAGTGAAATCCAGAGAGACTACAACAGCTGGCTTCCTTGGGTCAGATAGCTGGACTTTTCAAATAGGATGGAGAGAGGCTTGGCATCTGCATCAGCCTGTTCTCTCAGGACCTTGGGATGCACACCATGAACCCCCCAGACTTGTACCTGTTCAGTCTGATCAGGTGGTATCAATCCTTCTTTTTGCTTACTATGGGAGTGACTTTGTTCCCCCTGGGAGACGTTATAAATCAATCAGTACCAGAGTTGTTCATTAATTGATAGGACTGCTCTTCCATTTATTTTAAATCAACTTTCTGAATTGGATTCATTAACAACCTGATTTCTCATACAGACAGGTTCAGTAATATTAACAGCTATGTGGCAATTTAGAGGCAGATGCATAACAAAGCAACGTCCTGGCACTTTATACAAAAAGAAGATGGAGGTGGGTTTTTGTTGTTGTTGTTTAAACAGTACCAGAAGTATTCCATCATAACATACTGCTTCCTGTAGTACAGAGTACTCTGCGACCAGAAGTCAGCTGCAGGAGAAACAGACATCTTCCCCACACTCCCAGCCAAGCTATCACTTTCAGGTCAGATATGCTTCAATGTCCATTTTTAACACCATTTAGGACTGCATGCCTGTCTCTCGCACAGCGTTTAATTAACACGAAAGGGAAAGCAGCTACAGTTCATTTCACGTCTGCAGAAGCCGCGTCTTCTTTGCACCTCGCACGCTGTTCAGACACTGTCCAGCTTCTTCAGGATGACAGGAGCTGAAAAGAGAACACAGAAGGAGCATCACCGAGCCTGCCGCCAAGCTGCCGCGCACCTCGCCTACCCAGACGGGCTGCGCCTCCGCCACCCAGCTCCCTCCCCCCGCCGCGCCGCCGCTGCTCTGCCCGCCGAGGCCCCCGCCCGCCCGGCCCCGCCGCAGCGCGCAGCCCGCCAGCAGCAAGGCCCGGCCCGGCCCGGCCCGGCCCGGCGCGGTGCCGCGCACTCACTGATCCGCAGCAGCGCCACGTAGATGAGGAAGTTGCGCACGGAGGCGAGGACGTCGCGGCGCATCTTCCGCCGCAGCTCCTCCGGGTCCATCTTGGGCCCCAGCCCCTCGATGCGGAACATGCCGCCGGCCCCGCGCCGCTACGGCTGCCGAGCAGGGACAGGCGGCGGCGGGCAGCGGGGCGGGCTCCGAGCATGCGCACGGAGGGCGGCGGCGTTCCCGGCCCCCCGCGGCGGGGCCTCTTGGGGGCGGGGGGCTGTGGGGCTCGGTGCGTCCCTGCCGCCTGGGGAAGCTGCCCTGCCCTTGGGTGCTCCCACAGAGCCCTGACTTTGGCAGAGGATGGCCGAGGAGGAGCCTTCCCAAAGCGCCCTGCTCCGAACTGGGACTTTTCCCAGCTTGCAGCCCCTAGTCCGAAGGAATGGGCAGCCCTTCCTCGTTACCACAGCTGAAAGGCTGTCCTCCCAAGAGTTCTAGCGCAAGGCCCTAAACGAAAGTACACCAGATCTCATCATCTGCGATCTCAAGCACTTCTGTGGGGGGAAAGGAACTTGAGGAGACGCCTGCATCCTCCTTGATGAAGATGCTTTGTGAGGTGGCCCTGCACACGCTGTTCTGGGGTGTTTCTCCAGGGCTGCTCCAACATCCAGGAGATGGCTCCTCAGCCACCTGAAAGGACAGCACACCTTCCCTTTAGGCAAGGCAACAATAGCTTTCTCTGGCCCCTTGAGCGAGCACCTGCTAAGAAGATACAGAGAAGTACCAGAAACCTTCGCTGCTGCAGTCAGATCAGGATGTTCATCACTGATGCATACCAAAGAGGTTTCAGAGACCCAGGGGAAGACTTGCAGAAGCACAAAGGGGAGGCAAAGTAGATAATGGTGGAGCCTTGGTGCTACCTACTACGTTGACCCTTTCGCCCCATCAAAAGGATCAATATTGATCATACACTAATGGCAGTGTTTACCTTTGTGAAAGCAAAAAGAATTTGTCTGTCTTCATCTGGCCAATAAATTTCAGCTCTGTGATCTCTCTGTATGGGCTCCGTACAGTCAGTCAGACTGTGCAAAGATGCATTTTCTGGGTTTCGTTAAGCCAGCCTGAAAACAAATGAATGTCAGTGCTATTTCAGGTTGAAGGGACGGTTCCCATCCACTCTACTGACGCCTCCCCAGCTTCTCAGGCTTGGTTTATGGCCACGCCACCCCTCCATGTATGTTTTGAGTCTAGGACTGATGCATATACAACGGGCTTACGTGGCAATGTTTTGGTAGTGGGAGAGGCTGCGGGGTTGGCATGGATGAGCAAAGCCCAGCAGCTGCCCCATGTCAGATCAGAGCCAGCTCCAGCCAGCTCCAAAATAGACCTGCCGCTGGCCAGAGCCGAGCCAGTGAGTGATGCCGGTTGTGCCTCTGGGAGGTGTTTAAGAAGAGTTTAAAAAAAAAAAAATGCTGCATTGTAGCAGCTGGAAGAAGGGACTGAGAAACTGAGAGAGAAGAAACCCTGCAGCCACCAAGATCAGTGTAGAAGGAAGGAAGGAGGTGCTCCAGACACCCTGCAGAGAATGAGCTGCAGCCTGTGGAGAGGAGACCACACAGGAGCTGGGGATCTGGGGGTAGTTGCTGCCCACGGGAGACCCATGTTGCAGCATTTTGCTCCTGAGGGATGGACCCCATGATACAGACCCATATTGGAGATGTTCCTGAAGAGCTCCCACTTCCTGTGGGAAGCCCACGTAGGATCAATTTGGGAAGGATGGCATCCCATGGGAGGGACCCCACATGGCGCATGGGCAGAGAGTGACCGTGAAGAAGTATGTGACTGGTGCTCCCTGCTCCTGATCCCTGGCAGTATGGTGAGCATGACGAAGAATATGTGAAATATCCATAATATTCTAGAAAACAGGTCTTATGTGGAGTGGCTAAGGGAGCTGGCATTGTTTAGCCTGGAGAAGGGGATGCCCAGGGGAGACCTTAGTGTACTTCACAGTTACCTTAAAGGAGGCTATGGCGAGGCGGGGATCGAGCTCTTCTCCCAAGCACCAAGTGGTGAGACAAGGGGAAATGGCCTCAAGTTGTGCCAGGGAAGGTCTAGGTTGGATATTAGGAATTCCTTCACTGAAAGGCTTATGCAGCATTGGAACAGGCTGCCCAGGGAAGCGGTTGAGTCACCATCCCTGGAGGTCTTCACGAAATGTGTAGATGTAGAACTTAGTAGCACACGTCAGCATGGGTTCTGGTTCAGGGAAGCGTAACAGCACCAGGAGCACTGTCTGCCAGCAGGCTACCAGCCCTAAGGGGGTCTTAAACTGGAGCTGCTGCTGGGTGGCAAAACCTGTGGTCCCTCAGTGGGCAGGGGCACCTCCGCTGTTGTCTTCTTCCTCTGAGCAGTGACTGAGTGACTCCTGTTCTTCTATGTAAATCCCGAGTCTAGGTTATGCTTGTATCTTGCACCGGTTGATAAGATTTTGACCCAATCTGCAGGGGTCCAGGTGACTGAAAAACCTGTGTAACTAGTAATTCTACTGTAGTTCTAGAAATTCTGTGCAGCTATCAGCTATGCTAGGTGCTGGAAATTGTAGATAATAAAATATGTTGATTGTTAATCTCTTTTTATATATATATTTATAATTATAACCACAAACCTGTGGCCAGTCCTCATTCTGCCAAAGGTCCCTGAAGAACCTGCCCGTCCTCTGTAGTGTTGGGTGAGAGAGCAGCGAAATATTCTGGACTGACCACAACCTCCATTCCCCATTCCTCTGCACTGCTTGGGCAGAGAGGTAAAAGAGAGTGGGTGATGGGAAGGTGGGTTTAGGTTGCTTTTAGTTCTCACTGCTCTAGTCTGTTAGTAATCGGCAATAAATTAAATGAGTCTTCCCCAAGCTGAGTCCGTTCTGCACATGACAGTAATGAGTGAGCAATCTCCCTGTCCTTATCTCAACCCACTTTTTTTTTTTTTTATACATATATCATATTTTCTCCCTCTGTTCTTCTGAGAAGGGGGAGTGAGAGAGTGGCTGTGTGGTTATTAGCTACCCACCAGTGTTAAACTACAGCATGTATCTTCTGCAGACAATACTGCACAGGCACATGGGAAGATGCAGGTATCTAAGCCAGCCTGTGGCAGACCCTCCCAGACAGGATGGCACTGGCAGAATTGCCTCTGAGGCTTGGTCTGCCATGTCATTGTGCAAGCTGTTTTCTTTTGGGCCAGTCAATATTGGATAGCTTTCTTATTAATTGCATTTGTTTTCCATGGAAGATGACAATGGCTATTATGTAGGGATTCTGCGAGTTTCTGGCCAGTGTATCTACTCAAATGGTGCACATGTAAATCCAGACATTGTACATGGTGTGTCAGGGGCAGCTGTACAGCAACATCAGTGTCCAGTCAGTGTTCACAGCAGTCATACCATCCAGGGCTATCGTAACAGACACCCAGAGGGGGCACAGTGTTCCCTCTGTTTAGTCCCTCTCTTCATATCTGCAGCAGGTAAAACCATCCCCAGGTCACTGAAGAGACAAAGTCTGCAAGACAGGCATCTAACTATGCACAGTTAAAGCTCTGCTTCTGAGTTCACCAGACTGGAAATCTTGTCCTTTCAACTAATTCCAGCCAGAAGCTCTGCCATGGATTGCAGCTCATGTCTGCTTCTTAGGTCCAGGAGAGTCAGCAGAGCCAAGCAGGGTTCTTTTGGTGACTGTACAAGGGGGGAAGATGTTCTGGCCCAGATAACTGCATTGAATGACAGAGACCAAAATGGAAATTACATTACTCTTTTGAATGCTCTGCTGTAGTAGTGCTGTCAACTCCTAATCTGAAGGGGAAGCAGAATGGTAAGGAGCTTAATCGGAGAAAGAGACTTAAAATACTATCTTGCAGTGACCTCTGTTAGGCGTAAGGAAGGAGACTGCATAGATTCTCATGCAGGAGTACATTCAACATGGTACTCCTGGAGAAAGTGGAATCCTTAGGTGACATTAGGACCGTGGGAGAGATGTTATTTTCCTGCAGACCAAGTAACAACAAATAAAGCAGCATTCAGGCCCGCTGTCCTGTGTTATGTAAACCAAGTGGATAATATGGGGAAAAAACACACCTGGACAGATACTCGGGTAATACTTCAGTATTACCACTACTGGGTACTACTAGTGGTAATGCTTCAATCTTCCCTTGTGTGCCTCTGCCACAGTGCTGCAACTGCCTCATCAGCAAAGACATGATCTCTGGCTGTTCCCTGTCAGGGGATGATGGATCCAGCAGCTCAAGAGTGGCAAGTTTGCTGCATCTCCAGGATTTGCCAGGAGCAAATCTGAATGTGTGTTACCAGAAGGTGCATGCACACACTTAGGTACATGGCTGGCCACACACACCAACACAGACAGACCCCCTCAGCACTCCTACAAACTCAGATGGCCCAAACAACCTTATTCTGCTTCTCTTTCTGTCTCTGAAATGCCAAAAAACACCTGCACATGAAAAGGACACTCCCTCCCCCAGGAAAGCAACTAGAAGTGGAGTTCAGCTGGGAGGCAGGACAGGCTGCCCCGATCAGGCAGACGGCATGGAAGACAAGCATCCTGACCAGCAAACCATTTATATGCTGCTGGCCCTTTTTATCCCATTCTCTCTCATTTTTCCCACATTTGTTCACCACAGGCTATCACCATCCCTGCCCTTCCCCACGTTTATTCCTGCCCTGAGCATCGTGCAGTAAGCCCTCTGCAATCTTGAAATGCTCTTCTCCTGCACGCCATAGCATTTCCCATGCTCCTGGCAGGGTCTGTGGGGTGGTCAGGGTAGGGTGGGTGTCCACCCCCCACACGTGGCCAAGCTACCTTTTCCAGAAGGGACTGGGCAGGGGCCTCTGTCTTGGAGTGTATCAGTGGGGATCCTTTGACAGCCCTTGAGTCCGGGGCTCTTCTTGTTTGTGCAAAGGAGCTTTTTGGTGCCAAAGTAAGCACCTGCAAAGTACGTTTTCTTTTCTGAGAGACAATGCTTAGAGAAGTGTTATTTGACTAGTCAGGCTGGAATCTGCATTAGTCAACCCAGGTGAGGTCAGACAGTTTGAAATCACCCATCGGTTCTTGATTCAGGAATCCCAGGGATGTCCCCAACACCCCAGGTCTTCGGCCAGTCCCGTTTTCCTATTCTAGCCTGGGACTACAGCTCCAAGGGGGTACCCTGGCTCTGCTAGGACTCCAAGGGAAGGCTTTTCCTCCTGTTCTGCCCAGACATGATTGAAAATTATTTCTGATGTCTTCTGAAAGTTTAATGCACTTTATACTGAGGAGAACAAGAAAGGGAACATCACTTGTATCATTTGTGTGGGTGACTTTGAGAAGCAGTTGCTACTCTTAAGAATGACAGAGTATTATGATGTGTGTCTGCAGTTTGAGCGAGCCTGAACCTTCTGGAGAAATGTTTTCTGGTCACTTGGGAATGTTTTCTGGTCACTTTCATTAGCAGAAGCATCTCTCTTGTCACTCTCTCCCCTTTTTGCCTTTTACAACAGATATAAAATGTGTGGGTTCCTTTTTGAGCTTTCTGCCTTTGAAATACATTGTCAAAGGTGTAAGAAGGAAGTCACAAGTTTCAAGGCCAAATTGTGGGCCATCTAGTTTAACCCCCACACATCTGAACTGTTCTTGCATTCTTCAGAAGAACATCTCAGAATCAACCATTTGGACGCTTCCGCATGGTTTTGCAATGTTTCCCCAGACGGAAGGCTTTTATAGATCAGCTCTGACATGATGAATACACAGGCAAGGAAGAACACTGCTGAGAGATAAAGTGTCTCATACCTTTTTAGATAGATGTTTCCCAAACTTCTGAAACTTGGAAAACTCAGAGAGAGGAAAACTACATGTTCAGCTCTACAATGTACACAGGTAGATACCTAATGCATCTGATAGTTTGACATGGAGCTCTGATTCATCTTTTTAATGGATTCCACTTTTCATCCACATGAAAGACAACTATTGTTTAATTTTGTTTTTAATTCAGATTCTGCTTCCTGTGTAGATTGCTTTGGAAACAACATCTATCGGCACTGGTAGGTACAGATGTATGCTTGTCCATTGTCCATGAAAGGTACATGAATCAGCAGTTGATGCAAAACCTATTCCAGGGCACTATTTAATGCTATATTAGTTACAGATGGCAGGAGCAAATGTAATTTTGGCTAAGTTCAGCAATCACAAAATAGTACTGGTCATGAACAGTGACAGACAAATTCAGCTTTTACAACAGCAGAAGAGAAAAATAATGATAGTTTCAATCAGTGTTGATTTGGGAGACGAGCAGTTCCTGAGCCGGGAGCAAAAAAGAACAAAGGTAAAGGCAGAAGGACCCGCAGTGCGGAAATACTCTGGCTAATTAGGGAGTCTGAAAAAGCAAAACCAGAAAGGCACAAAACAGAAAAAATCAATACCTTTCAGTAGGCGACTCTTTTCTTGTCCAACCCTATGCTAAATAAAGGGCTGCAGAGAGTAGCAGAGGCGTTTAAATACAGAACAGGGCATTTTTACAGGGAAGGCTAGTGTCAGAGATGGAGACGAAGAGCTGACACAGTGGATGTGGGTTCCTGTACACCCATTTGTGCAGTGCTGGGCAATCACCAAGCAGCCCTACACCCACTTGCTTTGTCCACATCAGGAGAAAGAGCACAGCACACCGTGTTATGTGATAGAAGCTGCTCTGCACACTCAGAGGAGCACGGAGAGGCAATGGTGGCGGAGGAACCCAAAGAGTATCTTGTGCCACTTACTCCCAGGAGCCATCAGCCTAACAAAGGTCTGTCTCCACAAGCTCAGAGGAGCAGAGGAGCACAAAGGCAGGTGGAAACTCAAA